AATTGGCATACCCCGACGAGGCCTAGCCGGCCTTCCCTCTCGTACATGAGGAGGCTTCTTGCCGTGTTCTGCTCAGAGCTCCTAGAGGATGTTGTGCAAGAACAATTTTGTCACAGCGTTTGTCACAGAAGTCACAGGCAACCCCAAACAACTTCTTGGTCCTAGCCATGCACTATTACGTGTCCCACGGGCCCAGGTCCTTCGTAGAGTGAGCACACAAGCCCTTACCCTCTCTGCTTCCTTGTCTGGAGCAACCCGAAGACCTGTAATTCCTTGGAGATGACAGGAAAAGGTGTTGTGCTTGTGGTAGCCCAGGCTGTGTGCACAGTACCCCACAGCCTGCAAGCCGGGCGTGCGGCTCCTGCCCGCTCAGCAGAGCCCCACTGTGCCAAGCTTCCCACTGCACCTGCTTCATCTCTGGCTGTTCTCAGAGGTCTGTGTACACTGAAGAGCAGATTCTCGTAGAACTGCCTTGCTGGGATCTTGGACAAAAATCCTACATGCTTTTAAGGAGGTGGCAGAGAATACACTGCCGAATACAGAAAACATGCAATTCCGTTTCCCAAACATTTTTCAGAATAGTAAATGTGGCTTCAAGAAATAGCAGCAGAAGGCAATTTGGTTTTGGCTATATAAATTTATTTTGATGATGTTTACATTAGTGAGAAGGACCACTGATTAGAGTAGGGAAGGTCGAGGTACAGAGGAAAGTACATCAGACAACTGTTTCCAAGTTCCTTTTTTCCCCTGTATCTGGGAAGAGAGAGAAGGGGTAGGACCACTCCCAGCACCCTAACCACATCAGCACCTGGGGATGGGGGACAGCCACGTGGTGTCCTGCCAGGGTCCCTGATGTGGAGCATGCTCCGAGAGTACTGCTCACGTGGTTGCCGTAGCTCTGAAATACTAGGCATTTCATCGCTCCAAGGATGAGGAAATCCTTCCAAGGTCCATTGGCTGACACAGTCCACCTCAGTCTGCGTTCGCTCAGATATTTGGTGCCAACGCTTGGCTGGGGGACTTGTCCAATTTGCTCTTCCCTCCATCCTCTGCTATGATACTAGATGTCCTGTGCCGGCTCCAATGGACTGCCATGTCCCCCATGTGCATGTGGGCATGCTGTCCACTGCTCTGTCTGAGCCACTGAGGAGGCCCAGCTCTGACTCCATGGCCAGACCACAGATCCTGTGATTCTCCCCGTGGCTGGAGTTCCAAGTCCAGCAGTTCAATTGACTCCCCAAAGAAACCTCATGGAGGTGACCCTAGACCTGACTCCTGTGTGCACCAGCCAGTGCAGGGTCTGGCTATCACCCACATTAGCCTACACACACTTTCCGTTGTTGGGTCAGTTCTGCCTCCAGCCCTCTCTCTTAAGCAAAGAATGGATGCTGTGGCCCAGCATAACCCTGCCCACCACACATTCAGCCCTTATGCACACCAGTGGGAATAGCAGCCGAGACCCCAACACCCCCCACCAGCCCTGCCCCCACCCATGGTTCCTGCATATGCCGATTTGTGCAGCAGACTGGTCTGATCTGTCCTGAATCCCACCTGGCTCATACACTGCCAAGCTCAGCCCAATCGACCCTACTATCCAGCCCACACTTACGCTGGCAAGTGTTACTGTCTGGCCAGCCAGGTCCACCCACAGCCCTGGTCCTCATACTCACCAGTAGGAGCTGCAGCCCATCAGAGGGATATGCATAGTTTCCTTATTAGGCCCACTCCCAGCCCTGGACCTCGCACTTTTCCAGGTGGTACTGCAGTCTAGCCTGAACACTTGACCCAAGTTCAAGCACTTGCCAGATGATGCTACGACAGAGCCTGAGCAGCCTGCACGTACTCTGCCTCATACATGCACCAGTGGATAGTCACTTAGCTCACCTTGGCTCTCCCCCTAATGCAGCTCACATGTAGGTCAATGGGTTTTGTAGCCCTGTCCTGCCTGGTCTGTCCCCAGTCCCAATCTTCACAGCCCCCTGCCAGGCTTACTCCCTCTCCTGCGGTCTTATGTGTACTGTTGGATGCTGCAGCCTAGCCCAGGACAGCCAGCTCCAATCCTGGCCCTGGTGTTGTGTCCCAACCCAGCCTGTCCTGTACCCCGTCCTGGTTCTCACATCTGCCAGTGGGTGCTATGAATTGCCCCAACCTGGCTTGATGCAGCCTTACCCACACATATGTCAGCAAGTACTGTAACTGCACCTGGTCTGGGTGCTCCCAGCCTCGGTTCCTGCGCTCACCAGCAGGGACTGCATCCCAACAGAAGAGTTCCCCGAGCTCCTCTATCAGGTGTCCCCCAGGCTCAGATTTGCACACACTGATGGTTCTTGACCTCCTGTCCGACTCACTGGCAGGTACAATGGCCTTGCCCAAATAGTCCATATTTATTCCAGCTCTCACCTATGGGGGCCACAGCCCAGTCGCACCTGACCCATGCCAGGACCTGCTTTCACATGGTTCAGCAGGTACTAAGACCTAGCCCAGCCTGTCCTACACCCAGCCTGGATTCTGAGAGCACCTGCAGGTGGTGGAGCCTAGCCCAGTCTGGTATGCTGCGGGAAGCCATGCAGTTGGGACTGAGGGACAAGGGTATGACCAGCACGGCTCCTCGGTTAGCAAGGCTACCAGGAGTTTCTGGCTGCGTGGCAAGGCCCAGCAGAATGTCTCTGGTCATCTCATTGCTGCCTCACCCCATTGAATGGACACTCGGTCACCTCTCTGATGTCTCATAGAATTCTCCTGGCATAATACCTCAAACTGATCAATCATGTTATGGTAAAAGCATCTTTAGCAACATAAGGCAACAACACACAGCTAAAAGTATACAATAGTACAATTGAGCCCACAATGTCTCCAAACATCCTGTTAAGTGCCCACCTTTGTCCTGAAGTTTGCCCTAATATAAGTAATGTTTTCCTTAAGAAATGGCTTGATAACAGCTTGGAATCAATGGCAATCCTGGAAGTACAGTTTGTTTACCATAGGCCTCGAACTGTTACATGAAATGATACATTTTGGTTTCTTACCAGGGAAGAGCAGAAACTATATGTGAGTTGGTGGATATCGCAGCCTGGTCTGCCCTGCACCCAATTCTTGGGTTGTGCTTTGAGTGCTACAATGTGGACCAGCTCAGCCCGTTCCCAACCCAGTTCCCCTGAGGTCAGGGAGTTCTGTGGCTTGTCTCCTCACCACTCTTGAGCAAACCAGCAGATATCGCAGGCTTCCAGGGCTGAGTCTACATCCCCATACAGAGTCCTCCCCCAGATCTGCTTGTCTCAGCATAACGTGACCCATCCCCAGTTCCAACACTCACTGCCAGGTAGGACCCAGCCCTTGCTTCCACATGTGTGCACCAGCAGGTGGTGGTTGGCGGTGGTTGAGCTGCCCATCCCAGCTCAGAACTCCCACATGGTGCATTGGTCTCACCCAAAAAGGTCCTTCAATTTTCCTCTTCCAAATTGCTTGGTCTCAGCCCCCTCACTTACCTGCAAGTACAGTGGCCTTGTCAGTGCAAGTCCTCCAGAAGTAATTCCTCAGCTGAAACTTACCCCCCCGTGGTGTCCCCTTCCCACACACCCCATGCTCCCCTTCCTGAGCAATCCAGATCCCCGCCCCCCACCAACCTGCAAGCACATGGGTTTCCAAGCCCAACTCTTCCAGCAGGGCAGTGTGCCGGCCCTGCCTGCCCACCTGGGACCCCTGCACATGCACGGGTCTCCAGACCTGGCCCCCAGCATGTCATGTCAGCATGCCAGCCTGGGACCCTACCTCTCACCCACCCAGGTCCCAAGCATGTGTACCAGCCGCAGGCCCACTCAGCTGGGCATGGTGCTCAGCCAAGACGGCAACTTGACATCCATGGAATGCAGCCAGCTTCCTCACTAAACGCGGCCGGCAGGGTTGGGACCCTGTCACACATTCTTGTATAGCTTTTACAAGCACACTAAGTTAACAGCTCTGGATCTTGGTGAATACAGTGTCATGCTTATAATACTTCTGGATTTAACTGCATTTTCTTCGCTTATTAAATATTTTTCCTTTTTTGTATAGACCATCATGAAGCCCATGTTCATGCACTGAAAACCATGGCCTTGGCACTCGGCTCTCTCGTGCTGGCATCCCTGTGCCCACCTCCACACGGCACAGCCTTCCCCGTGCCCACCCCGTGCACTGCTTCACCCCACCCCGAATCACAGGGAGCCCCTGGCCTGGCCCAGCCTTGAGAAAGTAACATCTTTACTGGAAGAAGGGCTGCAGAGCAGGAGAGAGCCCGATTGCTCCTCCAAGGCTAGTCCACGCCCCGGGCTCTGCCACAGGCCGGGCAGTGGGGGTCGGCGTGTGACCTGGCTGAGCAGGCCTCCCCACGCGTGGCCCGCGCACGCCCGGCTCCTTTAGAACCCAGCACGGTGTCCCCAGGCCCAGGTCGCGTCGGGGGTCGCAGCGCTTGCCCTCCTCAGCGCCCACTCCTCCACTCGCTCGGAACTCGTCGTGTGCACTCGCCAGGGTCGCTCTGCCGCCGGGGCCACGCGCGTCCCCCGCGCCCGCAGCCTCGCCGCCGCTCCCTACCTTCGGACTGCGGGGAAGACGGCCGCTGGCGGCCGGGCCCCGGGACCACGAGCACGCCGTCGGCGGGCTGCCTGGCGTCCTGGGGGCTGCCGTCCGCCGGCCTGTCCTTGCCCCTGGGTGCCGCGCCGGCGGCTCCCTTCTTCTCCTCACCTGAAACGCACGGGGCCGTCAGCGCCCGGCCCGCGCCAGGCTCCGCTCCTGCCTCCCGCCGGCCCGAGCCTTTACCTTTCCTGTGCTTGGGCTTGCTTTTGGAAAGGCCCATGGGTGAGCCCGCCGCCCCCGCCGGCGCAGGCCCGGGCGCCCCCCGCGCGCTCGCCGCCCCGACCCCGACTGCCTCACAAAGGGGGCGAGAGCGCGCGTCCCGGCGGCGGCGCGGGTCGCCGAGCAACCGGCTCCGGGCCGCGCGCCCTCTCGCGAGAACTGGCGACCGGAAGGCCCGCGGGGCGGAGCTGGCCGGCGCGATCGTCTCGGCTCGGCCGCCGGACCGACCATGGAGGGTGAGGCGGCCCCTTCGGGCGGCCGGGGGCGCGGGGTCTCCAGGGCGCGCGGCGCGGCGCGGCGGCCGGAGGAGCGGCCCGTGGGTCAGCGCGCGGAGTGCGGGAGGCCACAGGCAGCGCCCGGCTTCAGGAGCTTTCCTGACGGCCGGCAGTCCGCTCCGACGTCGGTTCCCTGGGAGGAGGGAGTGGGCCCTGGGTGCTGTGTGCACAGTCCCCGGCTTCCTGCCCTAGCCAGGCGGCATTCGGGCAGCACTGAGCCGGGAACTGCCCCGGGCCGGACTGCAGGCTTACCCCTGGTGGCTGATGACCACTGTCCAGTGACCTGTGCGCTGGGAAGGGCCCCGGGGTCTCAGTGAGGATGCCCCGGTCGTCTCCGGGGTCACACTAACTTTTAAGAAGGCGTGGTAACTCAGACAGCTCTTCCATCCCCTGCTTTACTGCCCCAAATGGCCAGGCCAGAGCCAGGTGTCCGGAACTCGAGCTAGGTCTCCAAGGGTCCAACTTTCTGCGCACATTAGCAAGGAGCAGCACCAGAAATTGTGCACGCCTAAACTGTCACATCCATGGGGTACCAGTGTCCCCGCTGGAGGCAAACCCTGCTGCTGCATGCCAGGGCCAGAGCTGTCCACTGACTACACTGCTGGACCTGCCTGGCCTGTTCTCCGGCTCCTTCTGTCCACCACCCGTTGGAAGTGCTGTTTGTCAGATTTCCTGGACCCAGTGCAGTGGCTCAACTGGCTAATGCTCTCTTGCAAGCGCCAGGATCCCATATGGGTATCTGACTCCTGGACAGCCCAAAGCCTTGGGAGGCGCAGAAGCAGCTCCTGGCTCCTGATAGGGTCGGCTCAGCTCTGGCTGTTGCAGCCATTTGGGGAGTGAATCAGCCGATGGTTCGCTGTCTCACCTTCTCTCTGTAAATATAGCTTCCCAGCAACAACAAAACAAAAATAGATAAATCTCTGAAAAAAAGAGAGAAATGCCATTTGTCATATTTTTTGAAAACCTCAGGCTCTCTTTTTTCTTTGCAGATACGCTATTCCAGTTGAAGGTACGTAATGAGTGACCATTCCCCCACAGCCCTGGCATGCACAGAGTTGGGGATGGTGGACTGGACCGGCTGAGCGGCGACCACACATTTCTCGGGCTGCCAGCCAGAGTGTGTGCTGGGGCAGGCTGGGTGGCTTGCTGGTTCTCTGCTTGTCCTGGGCAGGGTGGAAGCAGGTGCCTCAGGCACAACTGGGTGCCTTGTGCACGCTTTGGCGGTCCACTCGGAGCCTGAAACCCTGTAACATGGCACCTGGAGGACAGCTTTGCCCCTTGCCTGCCGTGGTGTCTCTGTCTCTGGTCTGCCGTGCACGTGGCCAGGGTTGGCATTTCCTGGTTTACCTGGTTCTCAGGTGGAACACTCGCTCGTCCCACTGCCCCCGGGAGCAGTGACGGGCCATGGCTTCCTGCAGATTGCAGACATGGAGGCCAGCATAAGCGCCGTAGGCTCCACGGGAAACACGTTTAGTGTCCCTGGTGGCCTCCAGTGTGGCCACTCAGTGGCCTGAGCCAGGATCTCTGGAGTCCCGGGGGCATCAGTGCTGCCCTCTGAGCCTCCTCCCTGCTCCATGGGAAGGTCTGGGCAGGACTGACGGGCCTCTGACCCCAGAGGCGGGGTCTCCTTCCTGCAGCCCGGAGCACAGCCACAGCTGGCTGTCTTCTCTGGCCGAGGCTGGGAACCAGAGTGGGGAGGGGTGTAGGGCATAGGGCACAGAGGGTGGGCTCGGCCTGTCTGACTTGGCTATTGTGGCTCTTGCACAGTTCACAGCAAAGCAGCTGGAGAAGCTAGCCAAGAAGGCGGAGAAGGATGCCAAGGCTGAGCAAGCCAGGGTGAAGAAGGTGAGGCTGGGCTGGGCACACCCTCTCCACTCTGTGATCTGTTCTTTGGTGCGGGTGCTTCCTGCTTCTTGGGTCTTGCAAAGTCTGCTTCCACACAGGTGACAGGCACGGTCCAGGCAGGTAACTCCGCCACCCTCCTGGCCCTCTGAGGAGATGACTGCGACGTGCCTGTTCTTCCTCTGTGGCCATTCCTGTGATTCACTTCTGAGTTGCTGAACTTTGTCCCCCATTGTGTAGGAAATGGGCATCTAGATGACCCTGCCCATCTCACGGCTTTTGGCTAGCTTCTTCCTTTGGAGCCTGTGCCTTGGGTGTCTGTGGGCTGGGGAACGGCTGGAGGCTCACTTAGGGGTCCCCTGCCCTCTTGAAGGTGTGTTCAAGAGATGTGCCAAGCAGGAAGGGGGCAGGGCATCCGCTCCCCTCAGGGGAGTTTTTCAGCCAAACGCAGTCAGCTTGCCTGGCATTGGGTTCTCTAACTCCTCACCCAAGCTCAGGTTGCCCAGGGCAGACAGCAGCCCACGTGCGGCTCTGCCTCCTGTGGCCTCTGAATGCTGTCCGCCCTGCCCCTGGCTCCGTGAGGTACTGGTGTGAGCTCTGGCATGCTGCCACTGCTCTCCCTGGGTGCTTGCGCTCCCGACTCCCCAGGCCGCTGCCTTTGACAGAGCATGCAGGCACATCTGATGGGTGCAGCTGCGGAGCTGTGAGCCAGTGATGCAGGGCCGGCAGTTTGTACAAACCGACCAGTGCGCTCTCCCAGCTGGTATATCTCCCCTGTCTTTTAGGCCCTTCAGCAGAAAAACGTGGAGTGTGCCCGAGTGTATGCTGAGAATGCCATCCGCAAGAAGAATGAAGGCGTGAATTGGCTCCGCATGGCGTCCCGCGTGGACGCGGTGGCCTCCAAGGTGCAGACGGCCGTGACCATGAAAGGGGTGAGTAGGAAGGATCTGGCAGTGTGTGGAGTGACCCCAGAACGGGATCTGCTGGCTGGATCTAGGGCAGTTCCCAGCAAGTCCTGGTGTGCTGTGCACACAGGCGAGGCAAGGCTGGCTTCCCACTGCACCATCCCACAAGGTGCAGAAACTGTGTGGCCAGACCTGTCCTGGTTTGGGCAGGGACAGTCTTGTCAGTCCCCATGCTCTGCCATCTGTTCTCGAGTGACCCTCACACTGAGGTTCCTGTGCTTGTCCTGAGCACCCTGGCCTGGCTCCTGACATGTCAGAAGATCTGTTCCTGGCAGGTTCTTTAATCTTGCCCTCTCACTCAACTCGCCTCTTTCCCAGGTGACTAAGAACATGGCCCAGGTGACCAAAGCCTTGGACAAGGCCCTGAGCACCATGGACCTGCAGAAGGTCTCTGCTGTGATGGACAGGTTCGAGCAGCAGGTGCAGAACCTGGATGTGCACACGTCGGTAGGTGACCCTGGCGGTCTGGGGCCAGGGGCGTTCTCCGGGAGCCTCCTCTGCGCTGGGTCCCAGCCAAGGCCTACCACCTCTTTCTGGGCTGCCCAGATGGTGAATAAGCACGGAGGTGTGGGAACTACCCACCCAGAGCGGGTGGACATGGGTGTGTGGGAGGAAGGGCTGCCTGTGGAGGTGAGTGAGCCAGAGAACACACCTTCAAGAGGGCAATGTGAGAAGGCCAGTGTGGGCGAGAGTCCGGTGAGACAGCGGAGCCCCTGGGTCCTTGCCAGGGGCTTCGAGGCCTGAGGTTCCGCCTCTCCCCCAGGTGATGGAGGACTCCATGAGCTCAGCCACCACTCTGACCACACCTCAGGAGCAGGTGGACAGCCTCATCATGCAGATTGCCGAGGAGAACGGGCTGGAGGTGCTGGACCAGCTCAGCCAGCTGCCCGAGGGCGCCTCTGCTGTGGGGGAGAGCTCTGTGCGCAGCCAGGAGGACCAGCTGTCGCGGAGGTAAGACAGCTGTGATGCTGAGGTGGGAGGGTGGTCCTGGGCCGGGACCCCACACAGCTCCCTCCTGTGTACTGGTGCCTCGCCCACCCCAGCCCAGGGCCAGGCTTGCACAGAAGGTTCCTGAATGGGCATCAGCCATGGGGCCCCCCGCAGAGCTCACAGGAAAGGAACTCTGCCCTTCCTCATGGGAGACTTGCAAGGAGGACATTCTGCAAGAGCTGGCACTAAGAGACAGAAGTGTCCTCAGGCTGTGGGTGGGAGGGGGCGCACACGTGCCCCCTTTTAGCAGCTAACACACTGTGTGGGGATGGTCACTCATCCAGTTTTGTTGTGGATTTCCAGGTTGGCTGCCTTGAGGAATTAGCCACGCCCTCCTCGTGCACTGCCTCCCCTGCCCTTCCCCACTGCGTCTTGCCTTCCTACTGACCCTGCTGGGCGACAGCCCCGCCTCTCAGCTGCTGTCACCTGCCAGGCCTCCGTGGCCTTTGGAACCCTTCCCGTTCTCTTGGGTTGGACGGCACATCTGTTCCACCACTGTTTGCACTTCCGTGACTTTGGGCCGGCCACAGGGACGCTGGCCGAGCTCCCCTTGGCCTTCAGCCTCCGTGAACTTCAGCCTAGCACAGTGAGGGCCAGGCAGCTCCTGGAGTCTCTCCTTCTCCCACTTCAGCAGGGAGCATCCCCACCTGTGGCCGGTGTGTGCTGGGGACATGGCAGACAGCGGTCTCCTCCTCTTGGCTCCCTTGGCTCTTCAGGGTGCCCAGACCACAGGGGCAGGACTGGCATCCACTTCCAGGTGCCCACTCTGGGGGTCAGCCTTGCCGAGCAGCTGCCTCTAGGTGTGCTTGGAACTCTGCCGAGGGCCCCAGCAGGTGTGTGTTCGTGCCCTCATCACTCCAGGAAGCCCTCCCAGCACAGAGGGCAGGAGCTTTGCCTGTGGCCAGCAGTGGTGGCTGCAAAGACTGCATGCTGCCGTATCCACGGTGGAACAGCTGGCAGCAGCTCGTTGAGGACATGCTGGCTTCACCTGAGAGGGCCTTGGGCAGAGGTTACTGTCTTGTTTCTTCTGTTTCCTAAAGTTTACTTCGTTTCTGTGACGTTCATGGGACTTGTTTTTGCCAAAGTAGAAAGCAAGTGGCAGACAAAGGTGTTGGGTCTAAGCTGCCTCCGTGTGACCAGTGCTGCCCGTGCCTGGACAGCCTGAGGCTGGCTGTGGTGCGGCCAAGGAGACCCTTCCCCTGGCCAGCCCCCCTTTATCTGGACTTTGGAGCCCCTAGGGTTTGGAGTTGGGAGCTGATGTTGAGGGAAAGGGCAGCACAGGTGGCTTTTGGAGTTGGGGGTCAAGGCAATGTCTAGCCATGGTCTCCTCGGGACTCCCCCAATCTGACCCACACTGAATGTGAAGAAGGGGGTGCTGATGTCTCCTGTGGCAGACAGCCTCAGGGCCCAGGAATGCAGGAGCTGGGGCACAGATGGGGTCTGTGGAGGGAGGTGGGTGCCTGCCTATCTGCTCAATGTCAGAAGTAAAGATGGCTCTCTGGAAACATATTCTCAGACTTTGCTTTGGCGCTTTAGGGAGGCTGGGAAGCGTGGGTGAGGCCCCACCCACACAAGTTAGTCCCAGTACGTGCAAGAGGTGGACTGTGTGAGAATGCAGACTCCCAGGCCTCGCTAGACCTGAATCTGCACTTCCCATTTCTGTTTCTTAGTTTGAGAGACTTTCCTGCCGGCTGACAGCCTCGATCACGATGGCCTGAGCAGGACCACCCCATGAGCTGGAATCCAGTCCAGGTCTCCATGGGGGGAACAGTGACCCCCTCGAGCCATCACCAGCCTCCTTCTAGGAGACAGGAATCACACATCCATACCACTCAGCCAGATGCCTGTCCCCAAAGTTTATTTTACTTTGAAGGAATCAGACTAAGTTGTTGGAGAAGTTTCATTTACCTCATACCCATCTTTCCCAGACTAACTTCCTAGCCAGCCATGTAACTGCTCATGCCCAACAGATGGGCGTGTACTGGCATATTAGCTTCCCGGTCAGCATGCCGCCGATGACATGTCTACCAGGGGCCCTGACACCGACGTCCCAGCATCTGTACCCTGATGCCCACTGTGGATCTCTGGGCACATGCACGGTAACAAAGCTGCATGCACACCGAGTCTGCAGGGTGTCTGGGCTCTCGCCCTTCCCACTGCAGTCTCAATCCCAGGGATGCTGAAGAGCAGACCTGGGAGTGACGCGTGCTTACTGCCACTGCTGTCACTGCCGACCCGCCTTTGGCACATGACCTCCACACACTGGCTCGCTGCCGGCTCCGATTCACCTCTGCCCACTTGCTGTGCATGCAAAGCGGCTTCAGCAGTGCAGGCCACACCCCAGTCTCTCAGGATGGTTGAGCTCTGAGACCTGGTGTGATGTGACACCTCAGCTCCAGCTGCCCCGTCCCTTTGGGGGGCCCAGGGGTGCCACCCACCAGGCATCCCCTGCCTCTACAGCCAGAGGCGGGAGTAGAGGCCTGTGAAAGCCGGAGTTCTGGGTTGGCAGGGGAGGATGGAGCCTCTTTCTGGGAGCTTTTGGTGTGATGGTAAGGCAGTTTAGTATTCACATCAGAGCTGTTAGCAAACTAGCTGCAATGCCTTTGCATCCCACCAGGGGGTCCCTTCCACTGTGGCCTGAGAGTATGGGGAAAACCCTTTGCAGTGCACTGATCCCAGTTAAACCTCCTCGTGGTGCTGTGGCTCAGGCAGAACTCAGGACAGCATATCCCACTGCGGTAGCCTGGCCTTGGGGACTCCAGAATCCAACGGCTTCACGTACTCAACCCCTTCCTGCTGCTCTTCCTCAGGGCAGATGCCAGAATACATCAATAAGGCAACAGCTCAGGTACGGTCCTCCCCGACACACTGGCTGTGCTGATCCGAGGAATTCCTGGCCTATCCCGACCTCAAGATCCCTGCACACCCTGTGGCAGGATGCCAGCCACTCTACCACAGAGGAAGTGCCTCTGTGTGGGGACCTGCTCTAGGGAGAGGTGACCTGGTTTCCACCCCAACCACCAAGGGAAAGATCTGCAAATGCAGAGTTCCAGGCCCTGCCAGGCAGGCTGGCGTATGTGAGCGCAGACAGAATGCACACGTCTGCCTTAAGGCGTGTGTGAGTGTGCCTGTGGGAATGAAATGTGATCACCTGCATGAATTTGGGATCCGTGTAAGCCTCATGGGGGGGAGGCATGCCAACAAGGACCCAGGTACAAGTGGACCCTGGAGACCAGCCTGTGTTCAAGGCGCCCAGGCACCACCTGCAAAGCACTCCCAAACATCTAGGGTTCTAGCCTTCAGCCCCCCAATGGGGCTGGGGGGACTGGCCTGCTCTGAGGGCTGGCAGGGGGCTCTGCTCACACAGCCACCCTTGGGGGTGGTCTAGGCACCGACAACACACCCTCAGACCTTGATGGGCTCTTGCTTTTATTGCTGGCTCAAGGTACCCTGTGCCCTGAGCTGAGGATCCTGCTCCCACGCCCACCCCCGCCCAAAGCTGGGCTCAGGGCCGTGCTCCAGAGACAGCGGGCTTGTGAACAGGCAGCTGTGCGAGTCACAGAAGGTACAGGCTGAGCAGCGGCAGACTGAGAGCAGCCAGCAGGGCCCTCGACGCGTGGTGGCTGGGGGCTGCTGAGTAGCCATACTGCGTCCTACAGGAGCCGCCCAGCTGCTCCAGGGCGATGGGCTCCTCCTCCGGGATCTGTGCCAGGTTTTTCACCTGAGGATAGACCCAGGTTGGGCAGCCTAAGGGGGAGCCCCCACCGATCCTCACCTGAGGAAGATCCGACCACAGCCTGCGGGCCCTCACCCCTCCTCACCTGAATACAGCTCTGCAACAGCCTGGGCGTCCCCACCCCTCCTCACCTGCTCCACTGCCCGGAAGACCCTCAGCAGGTTATCAGCCAGGGCACCCTTGACCTCTGCCTCTGTCCAGTTCCTCCTGAGCAGTTCAGCGATCAGGTCTGGGTACTTGGACACGTCCTCCAGCCCCACAGGAAGCCTGTACCGGGGTGAGCAAGGGGCTCTTCACTGGCAGCTATCCCCAGGGCCTCACCCAGGTACACGGCCCCTCCTCTAGGCTCGCTGGCCATGTGGCTGTCCACAGGACACAGGTCCCACCGCTTACCTGCTGACACCGTCATAGTCCCCACCGAAGCCGACAGCCGCCGCTCCTGCCACGTTCTTGATGTAGTCCAGGTGGTCTGCAGGGGAGCAGCAGGTGAGTTCCAGGCAAGACTGTGGGTTTCTGCCACTGCCGTGGCTCCCCACACCTCACCTACCCGCCACCTGGGACAGGCTGGCCTCGGACGAGCAGGAGACATAGTCATTGTAGAAGTTCACCATCACCAAGCTGTTTGTTTGCTTCTGATGGGGAAGAAGAGACCACTGAAGCGGGGCAGAACCCCACCCTCACACTCCCCAGCCCGCCACCTGGCCCACACCCCAGCCCACACCCCAGCCCTCATGCCCCTCAGCCCGCCCCCAGCCCTCATGCCCCCCAGCCCACACCCCAGCCCTCATGCCCCCCAGCCCTCATGTCCCCCCGGCCCACACCCCAGCCCACACCCCAGCCCTCATGCCCCCCGGCCCACACCCCAACCCTCATGCCCCCCGGCCCACACCCCAACCCTCATGTCCCCCCGGCCCACACCCCAGCCCTCATGCCCCCCAGCCCTCATGTCCCCCAGCCCCCATGCCCCACAGCCCACCCCCGGTCCACACCCCAGCCCTCATGCCCCCCAGCCCACACCCCAGCCCTCATGCCCCCCAGCCCTCATGTCCCCCAGCCCTCATGCCCCCCAGCCCACACCCCAGCCCTCATGCCCCCGAGCCCTCATGTCCCCCAGCCCTCATGCCCCCCAGCCCACACCCCAGCCCACACCCCAGCCCTCATGTCCCCCTGGCCCACACCCCAGCCCTCATGCCCCCCAGCCCTCATGTCCCCCAGCTCCCATGCCCCACAGCCCGCCCCCAGCCCTCATGCTCCCCAGCCTTCATGTCCCCCCGGCCCACACCCCAGCCCACACCCCAGCCCTCATGCCCCCCGGCCCACACCCCAACCCTCATGCCCCCCTGGCCCACACCCCAGCCCTCATGCCCCCCAGCCCTCATGTCCCCCAGCCCTCATGCCCCCCAACCCTCATGCCCCCCGGCCCACACCCCAGCCCTCATGCCCTCCGGCCCGCCCCCCAGCCCACACCCCAGCCCTCATGCTCCCTAGCCCACACCCCAGCCCCCATGCCCCACAGCCCACCCCCGGTCCACACCCCAACCCTCATGCCCCCAGCCCGCCCCGCACCACCAGCTCCAGCACATCGTCCGGAACGTTGCGTTTGTGCGCACACAGGCTGAAGGCAGAGGAGTGGCTGAAGATGACCGGGGCCGTGGACAGCCGCAGCGCGGCCTTCATGGTGGCCACAGACACGTGGGCCAAGTCGATCATCACACCCAGGCGGTTCATCTCCTTCACCACACGCTGGGGGAGGCAAGGACAGGGGTGGGGGCAAGGACCAGGCACTAACCTTTGAGGGGGCCACTGAGGATTCTCCACTCAGGGCACCAGTGGGCCCTGGGAGCAGGGCTGCTGCTGGCAGTCCTGGCCACTGCCCACTGGGGGCACCAGGTTCTGCCCACTCCAGCTCACCTGTCCAAAGGCTGACAGTCCTTGACTCTGGGCCTGGTCGTCCCCTTGGTCCACCAGCCAGTTGTCAGCCCTAGGAGGGCAGAGAACAAGTGCCAAGCAGGGTTGCAGAGTGTCTGCCCCTACCCCACGCCCAGGGCCCGCATCGCTGGGGAGCTCACCAGGGTGTGTTGCAGCTGTGGGTGAGTGTGAGGTAGCGCATGCCCAGATGGTAGAGTGCCCGCAGGACGCCCAGGCTGCTGTCGATGGAGTGTCCACCCTCCACACCAATCAGACTGGCCACCTTCTTCTCTTGGAAAGCCTGCTCTATGCCTGTGGGGAGAAAACCGGGAGTGAGGGCCGCAGCCCCGGGTGTGCAGCAGCCAGGCAGCACCCAGGCAGCACCCAGGCTGGGCCACGGACCCACCTGCACTGTCAGTGACGCACAGGAAGGTCTCGGGGTACAGCTGACACATCCGGTGGACCACGTCCATCTGCTCCAGGGTCCTCTTGACACTGTCTTTGTTCTGGGTGTCGCAGGGCACGTATGCAGACCAGAACTGGGGGCCGGGGGGCAAGAGCTGACGGTTCCCTGCATACAGGGACTCCCCTTCCCTGTCACCATACGCACCCCTGTGGGAGCCCTGGCTGCTATTCCCACCCAGGGCCTTGGCAGGCTCAGAGAAGAGAGGGCCCCCCAGTGGTGGGGTTATACCTGGCCCCCCACAAAGCCAGCCTTCAGCTTGGGGATGTTGGTGTGCGTGTCAGCCAGAACAGTCAGGTTAGCCTTCGCATCCAGCAACCGATTGTTGAATTGTTTCAGCAGCTGCCAGGGCAGGTCATTGTGCCTGGGAGGGCAGGGACACGACCACTTGCACCGGGGCCTTCCCTCCACTTCCTGCTGCTTCCTGCGGCTCCTGGGTTCAGGACTGAACCCCGGCCCCAGCCAAGCAGCACAGAGCTCACAATGGCTCCCTGAGCCCAGTGGGCTGTCTGCCAGGCGGGGGTGGGAAGGCGTGGGATGGCTGAGTGGAAGGAGAGCCTCCTGGTAGGCAGGGCTGGGACGGCACATACAGGGCTTAGCCAGGTGGCCCAGGGAGAGGCTGGGCTTTTGAGGGTCTCTCACGAGCGGCCAGGGAAGGGTGTGCCAATGGTGGGAGCTCAATGGGTCCAGCAGAGTAGACGGTCCATGGGAGGCCTGGCAGCTCCCCGAATGGAGGGAGGGGAAGGATGGGGGACGGCAGCAGGAGTCGGGGAAACTGAGCACAGCCTGGAGGGGGCTTTGCCTGGCACCCCTGCCTGCAGGATGGCTGAGCCTAACCAGCCCCTCTCCTTGAGAAGTGTTCTCTGGTGAAGCAATGTGTGCGCCCCTTGGGACCCATCCCCACCAGTTTGCCTCTCAAGCTGCTGCCCTAGCGTCTCCTTAGAAGACAAATCATGAGGGCAATGAGTCATGACCGCCACTGTGGGCCCCACTTAACTACAGGACACAGACAGCCCTGGCCCAGGAGGTGGCCCTGAGCTGCACTGCCCTCCCAGCCCAGGGGGCAGCTCCAAGCCGCACTGCCCTCCCAGCCCAGGGGGTGGCTCAGAGCCACACTGCCCTCCCAGCCCAGGGGGCAGCTCCAAGCCGCACTGCCCTCCCAGCCCAGGGGGTGGCTCAGAGCCACATTGCCCTCCCAGCCCAGGGGGCAGCTCCAAGCCGCACTGCCCTCCCAGCCCAGGGGCAGCTCCAAGGGGGGTGGCTCTGAGCTGGCAGTCCTCCCAGCCCAGGAGGTGGCACTGAGTCGCACTATCCTCCCAGCCCCTAGGGACAGCCACTCCTGCAGAGGCAGCCACCAGTTCTTCCTGTTTTGGAACCCAAGCTGCTGTCCTGCCCTGTTCCCCACCGCTGGCAGACCTCCTGTCAGCTTGCAGGGGCATCTGCACAGGCATCACCATCTGAGAAGGGGCACCTCCCTCTAGGAAGGCACGATGGGGCAGCCAATGTCAGCCAGTGTTTGTCTGAAGGTCAGATCTAATCAGAACTCCTTATCAGATCCTGTCTATGTAGCCTGGGCAGGGTCCTCTCATGAGACAATAGGAAGTCTGGCAAGAACCCCCACCAGCCCCACAGCACTGAGAACTCCCCTGTAGCCGGGTGTGACCAGGGGACTAAGTTCAGTCCTGACCTTTTCTCCCTGCTTCCTCCATGTCTGGCTCCTCTCTACCACTGCCACTCCAGCATGGGAGCCATGAGGAGAGGTGTGCAGGGGCAGTGGGCCCCAGAATAGCAAGGAGCAGATCACGGGGTCCAGGGAGGCCTGGGTCGGATAGACACCGGCCTCACACTTTGCTTAGTGCCTTTGCTCCCACAAAGCCCACCTGCTGTGTGTGGCCTCCGGACCTGGGGAGTGAGGGAAATGGAGGGGCAGTACAGGTAGGGCCAGGACCCATGTCTCACTGCGCCCACAGAAGGTGCAAGGGGCCATTGTGGGACATGGCACTTAGGAGACTCCAGGGCTTGCCTCCCCGGGCAGGGAGCTGCATGGCGCTGACTGGGCAGGCGTGGGATGAGGCACTAGGAAGAGTCTTAGTCAGTGGGAAGAAGAGATCGAGGCCTCTGGAGCCCCACAATCTCAAGGAATCCTGGTAGGGGCAAGTGAGGCAGGGGAGAATGTTGGAGAAGATGCCAGCCAGGGTCTTGCCAGGATGCCTGTGTCTTCCTTGCTGCTGACGGGAGGAAGCTGAGACCCAGAGAAGGAACGAAGCTTTCTCAGGCAGATGGCAGGTGTGGGAAGTAGGGGCCAGGGTGTGAGCTTCCCCACTCCAGCCCCACTGAAGCCGTTGGGGTCCTGGGAGACCCTAGGGAGAACTGAACCTCCGCCAGGCACTCACCCATCAATGACTGGCTTCTCCTGCAGGATCCTCACTGCTTCGTCCCGGAACAAGTCTGCTGCACAGATGGCCACCAGGGGCCACAGCCACAAGCTGGTCCACATGACAAGGCTCCTGGGGATTCCTCTGTGCTGTTCTGGAACCTACAGAGAACCCTGCACCTGCCAGAAAAAAAGCACACAGGCCTTTGGTCAAGCAGATTGCTGCTGCTGGTAGCTCTCTGTTTATAACACACGCGTTCAATGAATAACCAGTGCATTCCCCATGGTGGGTGGGATGGAAGATCCAAACCCAGGGCTGGGTGTTGCTGCCCAGGCCAAAGGAGGCTGGGATCCCAGGCCCAGGGAAGGTCCAGAGCTCAGAGGGTGACATGGGTGAGGCAAAGCAGCCAGGTACACTCCAAGCTGTGCACCGCCCAGATCCCATCGACCTCTCCCTAATGTGTCTGAAGTCTCACTGACCCTCCCGCAGTACACCCTGCCTCCTGTGGATTCCCAACCAGGGTCAGGGGGCCCTGAGCACCCACCTTGGGAAGAGGTGAGTCTGCTGCAGGTACCCGCACTCTTCCCTTTGTGCTCTAGTGAGCCCTGCTGTCACAGCCCTGCTCTCATGCTACCTCCATCTCAATCTCCTGGACAAGAACCTGGAACGTGTATACTCCAGGACAATCTCTCTAAGCCCACAAGGTAACCTGTGGCTCCCATTCTCACAGCAAGGGGCCAGTGGCCAGTGGCCAGTGGCCGGGAGCCCAAGCTGACCCTAGGTGGTACCCAGCTCTCCCGAGGGTCCATCCCACAGGGTCCTGTCCCAGGACTGAATGTGTAGGCCAGCTTGAGCCACTGCCACATGATCATGGCCAGTCCAGGCATAGCATCTGCTCAGCGCTGGCTCTGTGGCCGCCCTGTGTGTGGTCCTAGGACAGGTGCGAGGGCCCCTGAGCCTGCTCCCTTGCTACAGATGGCACTTACAGGGCTGGCTTCTCCCTCTGTGTCCCTCCTCACGCTCCCTATGGGAAGGAGCCAGGGCTCCGGGTGCTCACCTTCCTGCAGCCACCCCTCACCAGGGCACCCTGGGTACCAGGCCATGTGTCACACTGCCTGCACGGTCTAGACTTCCACCACTTGCTAGGGAAAACACCTACTTCAGTACACGGGGCGGGGGTCTGGTCTCGGGGCTCCTCCTGACTGACCCCAGTGCCCTCAGAGGTGCCAAGGTGCTTATGGCACACACAGCAACCTCAGCCACCCATACCAGCATGCCTTCACAGGAGCCAGGAGTTAGGGATGGCAGGCTAAGCAGCCTTTCGCAGTGCTTGCATCCCGTATTGGGGTGTTCCAGTTGCTCTGCTGCTCATCCCACTCCATGCCGACGGGGCTGGAGCCTTTACTATCCATGTGGAGTGCCTAGATGGAGATCTGGGCTCCTGGCTCACACCTGGCCGTCACAGCCTTTTGGGGAGTGAACCAATGGAACCAATCTGCGTCTCTCTCCACTTTTCAAATAGTTTTGTTGTTGTTGTTGTTTTTATCTTTTTAAGGAGTACCCGGACAGCCTGGACTTGGCCCTCAGAGAGCAGCCAGGCGCATCTGAGTTCACTCACAGCTCAGTGATAACAGTCAGGCTGCTGCAGCAGGCGCAGCCTCCTACAAACCCTCCCCTGTACCAAGGGCTTTGTCACCACCCTGTAAGGGTGTCCTGGGGCTCACATCTGCTCCAGGGACACTGCATCTGTGCCCCTGTGTGGGGCTGCACGCTGCACGCACCTGGTTCAGTTCTACACATTCAGGTTGCACTGCCGACAGGGTCACGTGAGCCAGTTCTGATCCACACAGCACGCACTTCCTCAGCCCTGATGGACTAAGGGTCTCCAGGGATCTCAGGCCTTCACATCTATAACTAACAGGGAGTTTCTCCTTCCTCCTCTGGAACCTCACAACCTCCCCCTCCTCCTCCCCCTCCTCTCCCTCCTCCTCTGGAACCTCACAGCCAGCCTCCCCCTCCCCTTCCTCCTCCCCCTCTCCCTCCCCCCTCCCTCCTTCCTCTGGGACCTCACAGCCAGCCTCCTCCTCCTGCACCTCTCACCTGGAAGCCACCCAGAGGAACCTTCATTCAGGTTTGATGTGAGCAAGGAAAGCAAGGAGCTTGCCTCAGGTGTGAACCTCAGAGGGACAGTTACCAAAACCTCCTCACCATATTGACAGCAGATCACACAATGCTTCAAAAATCCCATAATGAACATACCAGCACGTTTTTAAATAAAGACAGGGTTGGGGGAAGGCACTGGAATGCGACAGGTAAACTTATCCACACCCACATTGGCTCTACTTGCACTGCAGCTCCTATGATGCACGTGGGGCGAGGCAGTGCCGGTCTAAGTAAGGGGCTCCTGCCATTCCCTGGGCTCCTGGCTCCTGGCTGCTGGTTGGGCTGGCCCAGCACTGGGCCATTGCAAGCATCTGGGGACTGAAGCAGCAGATGGAAGAGTCCTCTGTCTCTTTCTAACTCTGCCTTTCAAATAAATAAATAGAATCCAGTGTGACAGGCTGATTCCAGAAAGAAGAAACGACAGAAAAACCACTTTGGAGTTGGTGTCTCTATTGTGGCTCCCCTGCACCCGTGTGAGCAGCCCAGGAGACAGCGTGAGGCCCGAGCTCTGGCCACTCGCTAGAGTCCACAGCACCCCTCAAGCACCCCCGTGTCTATGACAGATGCCATGGACGCCAGCCCTGCTGATTCCATCTCGCATCATTTTGAAGATAAAAACCACAAACATGCTAATGGAACCAGGGGCGCTGATCCCACGGCCCTATGTACTTTGGGGCTCTCATGTGAGCAGCCCAAGAGCACCCAAGCTGCCAGGTCTCCAGCTGTGAAGCCAGCATGGTGGGAACTACTTCGTGAACGTCTGCCGAGAGCACAGTGAGCCAGCCCTCCGTTTCTGTGTCCACTCTGGCATCTGGCCAGGCCCCCACTCCAGCTGCACCAGAGACCATGTCTCCGCTTGGACCTTGGGGGGACAAACCACACCCAAGCCATCCTCGACAGAGAGACAGACATCTTCCATCTGTTGCAATACCTAGGGCTGCACTGGGCTGCCGTCAGCAGTCAGGAGCTCCATCTGGTTCTCCCACGTGGTGGCAGAGGCCCAGGCACTGCTCGGGCCATCATGTGCTGCTTCCCAAGGTGAGCGTGAGCAGGAAGCTGGATGGAAACTGCAGTGACTGTGAGGGGATGCAGGCATGACCTCAGTTCTGTCTCCTGCGTTTTCTCCTGGGAGTGTTGAGGGAGGTTTCCTGAGTGCTGTTTGACCCTGCTCAGCAGCTCTGTCTCCGCACATCGGAATGAATTCCAGACTCATTTTTCCATTGTTTATCTGAATGCCTGCCTTCCTTAGCCAGCTGGCCCTCCCTGTCATCATGTCTGCGTTATTTACAGATGCAGCTGCGGCCAGGCTGTGTTGGCCACTCAAGAGCTCTCCCAGCCAACGGGAGAGGACAGGAATGACACCTGGCCCTCTTCCTCCAGCAGCCCCCTTCACTGCACCCACTGCACCAGTTGCATGATGCCCCCTCATCACGCCTTCCCCCGGTTCCTGTGGCAGTCTGTGAATATTCCAGAGGCTTTGGGGACAGCTGGGGTCACCACATTTCTCTCTCCCAGGAGCGTGCTAATGGGCCCGTTGTAGCCCCCTGTGTGGTGGACACTGCCTGTGAGTCCTCCCCTCATCAAGAAGGCAGGAGCAGGTGTGTACAGGGCCTGTCTCAGGGCTTGCGGGACATGGAGGTGTGTCCTCAATTCCTGACTCTCCACTGGTCCTGTGTCTCCAGCCGCTCTAGTCTTTCCCATAATCATGCCCAAGAGGGACATGCTCGCCCTGCTGTCTTGGTGAAGAGATCTGGGAGAGTGGGAGCAGGCTGAGCAGCAGGGACCAGGAGCCTGGGCACCTAGGAGAGAAGTCGGGAAGTGCAGGGCTGCGAGGACAGCTTCAGAGAACCACACTGGGACAGGACCCCCAGCTCAGCCTCAGCAGGGATGGACACACTGCAGGAAGCCCAGGCCACAGAGAAGCCCCCCACCCCGGCACCTGCAAGTGGGTGATGGCTGTGGTAACTTGTTTCACAACAGGGGAGAAGGAATCTAGGCCTCTGAAGGGACCCTCGTGTGGTTGTGGTTCCTGCCCCCACCCTCCCCTCCTGACTCTCCCATCTCTCCTGCAGTGTGGCCAGCTGCAGCCTCACCACGAGGGACAGGAACTGGACGGGGGCTGCCAGGAGGCTTGAGCCCACCACCTGCTCTGCCCTCGTGTGGGGTCACTGTCAAGGCGATGACTGGCACCCGGCCCCCAGAGCAGCTGTCCAATGGTTTGCTGAGCTGTGTCACTTTGTATCTAAAGTCTGGGAACAGCCTTGTTAGCTGGACAATCAGCCTCACTCCCCAAAATAGGAGGAACTGAGAGTGAGGACAGCACAAACTCCACCCACGCAGCCCTAGGACCCAGGCCATCATGGCAGACCCCAGGAACCCTGTCTCTGTCCATTTTAGCAGAGCACCTGGGGATGTGGGACCTGAGGAGGCCCTGGGTGATCTTTGGAGATCTCTGGGCTATCGCCCAGGGCCATGGAGACGCCCACAGAGCAGCAAGGTCCACGCCTCGTGGCCCCACGCTCTGGAGCACACGTCCACAGGACACAGACTGCAGTACCATCTACACTTGGAAATTACTGCCAGGCTCACACCTGTGGGGCCAGCTCTCCACAGACATGCCAGGCTCCACTCTGACCCAGCTCCCTGCTAACTGGCCTGGGAGAACAGCGGGAGATGGCCCAGGTCCTGGGTTCCTGCAGCTGCATGGGAGACCCCAAAGAAGCTCCAGGCTCTGGCCTGAACCAATCATGGCTGTTGCAGCCATTTGGGGAGTGATTTCTCTCCTCTCTCTCGTCTCTGTTCCTCTGATGTTCAAATGAATAAAGCTTTACTCAAATCCCGTCACCACCCTCAGGACAAGCATTACAGTCCCACCCCTCCAGCTCGTCCCAGACAGCACCACACAGACACACCCAAGGCTGGCACACCCAGGCATACATGCCCAGCTGTGTAGACCTCATGGTCCTCACTCTTCAGCTGGCTCCAATAGACACTGGCGCAGAGAC